TTGTCAGACACCCATTGTCAGGGCCACACCATCACAGCTGGTCCTTTAGATGACCAGTCCGCACTTGCTCTTCCCACACCAAAGGTAGGGCTCCTGTTGAAATCTGAAATGTTCTCAAGTCCTTACAATTGCTGTATTCCTGCCTCCCCCCTTCCCTGGGGGCTTCTTTTTCTTCTGCAAATAACTTTTTAAAAAATTTTATAGAGATGAGGTCTCACTATGTTGCACAGACTGGTCTCAAATTCCTGGGCTCAAGCAGTCCTCCTGCCTCAGCCTCCCAAAGTGCTGGGATGACAGCATGAGCCACTGCGCCCAGCCACAAATTTCTTTTTGTATTTTGCACCGGAGAGGAGCACCGAATAATTTTTTATTTTTTGAGTCAGAGTCTCACTCTGTCGCACACTCACGGCCACCGCAGCCTTGACGTGCTGAGTTTAGGCAACTCTTCTACCTTAGCCTTCCAAGTAGCTGGGACCACAGGCGCGTGCAACCATGCCCAGCTAATTTTTTGATTTATTGTAGAGAACAGATCTCGCCAAGTTGCCCAGGCTGTCTAGAACCCCTGGGGTTCAGGCAATCCTCTCGCCTTCGCCTCCCAAAGTGCCTGGGATTTGAGTCACTGTGGCCGGTTGGCATGACTTTTTAATGGGAATTGTCTGAAGGAAAAATACAATTAAAAGTTCAAATGTTGCCGGGCTCGGTAACTGCACTCCAGCCTGGGAGACCGGAGTGAAGACTCCAACTCAAAAAAAAAAAAAAAATTCAAAGGTTAACGTGGATGGATTGGTTGTAAAACATAGCCTGTGCTGTGTAGACGCTTCCCCTTGCACCCTGAGCGCCATCTCCTGTCCCTGGAGGGCTAGAGGAGTCATCCCCAGGTCTTCCGGCCGCCGCAGCTCTTGGCTGTGTTCCCCTCGAGTTCAGCAGCCGCTGAGCTCTTGTGAATTTAGGCCGAAAGGGAGGCCGCGAGCGGCTCTTCAGCGCCATCTAGCGGATCTAGTTATGAATCGGCTGGGGAGCAAGGGCTGCTCCCTTCTCCCTTGACGGTAACCACTGATTGGCTTCCGATGTCCATTTCTTATACTCAGCAGCATATTCCTGTTGAAAAACGAGTGGTTACATGGAGGATTACTGTTTCTCATAATTATTGTATTGCGATAGAATTCATGTGCCTTGTAATTCACCCGTTTAAAGTGTGCGGGTTTGCTGGTGGGACGCAGTGGCTCAAGCTGTAATCCCAGCACTTTGGGAGGCCGAGGTGAGGAGGATTGCCTGAGCCCACGGGTTCGAGAACAGCCTGGGCAACTTGGTGAGACTTCATCTCTACAATAAATCAAAAAGTTAGCCAGGCGTGAGATTCCAACTAAAAAAAAAAAAAAAAACTGTTGT